CTTTTCCTGGAAGCCCACGTGGACCCAGCTGGCCCTGTGGACCAGCACTTCTGGCCCCTGCCCGGGTGTGGGGTTGTGGTGTGTGTATTGGGACTGTGGCCTGAGTGTCTAGTGAGGCCACCATGAGGCTGCTCAGAGCTGGCCTTCTGGTGGGGCCGCAAAGCTCCATCAGGACATCCCAGGGCAGTGGCCTATGGGCTCTGGCAGGATCCTGCTGCGTCCGCCCTTGGCGACCCAGCCCGGCTGGGCGGGGACTCAGTTTCCCAAGTGCCCACGTGTGTCTGGCCCCGACACTCCCTCGGACCTGTCTCCCGTTGGCCAAGGTCGCAGTCAGCATTGTGGGTCTCCAGGTGCCAGCATCGTGCTGACCCCTGTGTGGACAGCTGCGCCGGCCAGGCTGCGCGTCTTCACACCAACTGCTGCCCGCAGAGAGCAGGCTGAGGAAGTGGGTCACCGCCCTGTGGCGGCCACCCAGAAGCTGGGCCACCTGAAGGGCCCAGTTCAGGATGACATCCACTTGATTCCAGAGCAGGGCAGTGGTGAAGGGGGCCCAGGGCTCTGGAGCACTCCACGGAGCACTGGCCTCCCAGCAGCCCTCCTGAGGTGGCAGGGGCCTGGCCTGCCCTGGCTCTGCAGGTTGACGGGGGTGGCTTGTCCGCTGACTCAGGCCTGGGCACTCTGACGTGTCCTGCCTGCGAGGAGCCTCACTCCCCAGGAACTGCAGGGAGGCTGCTGCTGTGTCTCTGTGCCCAAGGACCGCTGACTCCACAGCTGCCCCTCCGGGCCAAGTCAAGGCCTGCCCCACGGCTGCCAGAGACCAGGCTCTCCTGTGGGGCAAGGGCCATGTCCAGCACCAAGGACAGCACCCTGTGGGTCCTGGTTGCAGAGCCCCGCCTCTCCCTGCAGCTGAGGCATCTCAGACACACTGAGAGGGGAGGTCCTCAGCATGCTGTAGCCCACCACTCACTCCCGCCACATCCCCTCGCGGGGCCTGTGGCCAGAGGGGCCCACTCCAGTCCACTGTCTGAACTCATATCCTCTCTCATACCCAGCTCCAGGTGGCCCTCCAGGCTGGTGACTCAGTGACCCTGGGGCAGCTGGCTGGCACCTGCTGCAGTGCACCAACAGGGGGCATGGAGGAGGCTGGGTGCCCGTTGACCCTCCACCTAGCAACTTCTCAGGCACTGGAGAGCTGGGTCCACTGCTGGGGGGCATATCATGGCTGGGGAGGGCCAGCAAGGGAAGGGGATGCCGAGAGTAGGGCCTGAAGCATGGGGAGGGTCTCCACCACCACTTGCTCCTCCGGAAGCCCACCTGGGGGCCACCTCTTCTACTGGGGACAGGGCTTATGGTGACAGCCATCTAGATAGTTGCTAAGACAAGGTTCCTTTGTATAGCCCATGCTTGGCACCCCCAAATATCACTTCAAGACCCCCAGAGGTCAGGGCAATGCAAGGCAGCCGCCGGGCTTGTGTCTTAAGGGCCACTCTGTGCAGTGTCACGAATCTCAGGGGACCGGCATTGAAGGCCTGCACCCTGTGTCTTCCTGTGAGGCCCAGTGCCTGGGGAGGGTGTCCCCTGGGGACAGGGTGATGATAGAGGGGCAGATGGATCTATAGCCACAGTGCTCTCCAGCGTCCATCTCCCAATGCTTAGGCCAGGTGTGGGGAGACCAACAGGGGGACGCACACAGGGATGTCATGAGAGGTGTGTGGCCTCTAGCTGGTCCCAGAGTCCTGCAGCCTCATGACCCACTTGAGATGTAGTGAGGACAGCTGGCGAGGGGCCAGGACTCACTGAGGAGGGCCACAGGATGGGCCCAGGCCCTGCGTCCCCTGCCAGCTGGTCACTTTGAGATGGGTCCTCCGGCCTGCAGGTGCCTTGGTGTCAGGTGGCTTGTGCTGCAGCCTAGGGCCCACGTGTCCACTGCCTCCCAACCCTCCAGGAACCCCGTTGCCAGCACTGTCATGTGCCTGGGGGACCCCACTGACACCAAAGAGCAGCAGGACCAGGTCCCCGAGGTCAGGAGCTCCCGGGGCCCAGGTCCTCACTGTGGCCCCAGGGCCCAGGATGCCGGCAGCCCCTCACCCTCCCTGCCCCTGCCTCCCGCAGACGCGGTGGTGGGAGCTGGAGGTTCCCTGGCTTTGGTCCCACCCGTGCAATTATCTGTGACACGTGCACTTTCCTCTTGAGCCTGGTGTGTGTAAAGACAGTAATTAGAGATAAAGTCACAATTGGAAAATAAGCCCCAGCGAGTGGGAGGGCCGGGCGATTCAGGATGATCCTGGGCTTCCCCCCAGTAGCCGCCCGGCCCACAGTCCCAGGGGCTGCAGGGCTTGGACCTAAGGACTGGAGGGCTCCCGAGGGCACGCTCGCCACTCTGCCACCAGGGAGGTGGCCAAGCACCTGGGCACCCAGACACCCAGCCCCAGGGGCCCCTGGGGCTGTGGGAGAGTAGGACATGGGGCTGATTCTCTCCCGAGGGCACCAAGGAGGGGCACCTGCATGCTGGGCTTTACGGAGTGGGCAGGAGTTCTCAGTAGTGGGGAAGGACTTTGTGGTCAGAGGGAAACTAGTGAAAGGAGGTGGAGACGGAGGGAGAGGCAGGGATCAAGGACACCAGCATGGCTTCCCTGCACGGGCTGCGTCCTAAGGCCGGATGTGTCTGAGCAGTGGTGGGGCCTGGCCTGGCTTCTGTGCCTGTTGTCACTGGGCTGGACTGCCTCTGCCCACAGGAGCCCTGAGGAAGGCCTTGCGCCTGGCAGGAGCCTCTTGTTTGGGTGGCCCTTTGTACTCCCAGCTGGTCCCTTGATGCCAGAATCTCCCCTCCTGGAGGCGGGGTGGAGCCCAGGCCAGGCCCAGCAGATCTTGGGGGCACAACTGGTGGTGGGGACAGTGGCCGCACCCTTTTTATGTCCGACTTCTGGGACTTTGATCCTTGGCTGCTGTCCGGTGCTCTGCCGTTCACGCCCACTTCCTGTTTCCTGAAGCAGGACCACGTTTCCCACACACATCATGTAGCCCCGTCATCTGAGGTTGCACATGCATGTGGGTTTGTGTGCACATGTGTAGGTGTGTGCACGTGTGTGCATGGGTGCAGACGTGTGATGCATGTACAAGTATGTGTATGTGTGTACACGTGTTTATGCATGCCTGTGTACATGCATGCCTAGGTTTGTGTGCTGTCCCTGTATGGGGCCCTGAGCTCTGAGACCAGCATCTCCCCTGAGGTCAGCCAGCCAGTGTCCACCTGTGGTCCCTGATATTATGTTTGTAACGCTGTGTCTTCAGGGCTGCTGGTACCCTGGCTGCTGTGCTGTGAAGGCAAGACTCTCCCCCTTTGGGACATTCACATCCATTCTCCCTGAGCTGTGCAGAGCCAGGCCGAGGCTGCACCCTCCTGCCCTGGGACGGTCTGCTGTCTGCCCCTCCCGCCCCGCTGGTCCTGCTCTCATTAGATCCGGGGAACACAGGGCTGCTTTCTGTCTTTGGGGTCTCAGGGTTTGGCCTGATGGGACAGGAAGTTCCGGGAGCTGGGCCGATCTCCCACTTCTTGTTGCCCTTGTGTCTCTGGCCTTGTCTCTGACTGGGCGGTGCTCTGAGGTGTGGCCTTGTGGACTGCAGGAGCCTCTCCCGTGTGGGGCTCTTGTACCTCCTGGCTGTTCCCTGGGTCTCCTGAGCCTCCAGCTCATGTGGGGACCTGCTGGACCTTGTTTGACCTGCTGCACCCTGGCCACGTGCAGAGAGTCTCGTGTCTGTTGGGAAGAGCTCCCAGTGTCGGGGGCACCCCTGTCCTGACTGCTGTGTGGAGGAGCCACTGCCAGCCCTGGGTCAGCTGCGGCGCTTGCCAAGGTGGCTCTGCACGATGGATGGGCAGAGCTGTGGACGCCGTTCCTGCTGTGCTCTGCGCTCCCATCTGAGCGGGAAACACAGGCAGCTGGTGAGGCCCCGGGAGCCTGCACCAGGCCTGGGCTGGCGTTCCTCGGAGCACACCCCACGGAGGGCAGCGGCTGCTCCTGCCTAGGGAAGCTCACAGACACCCAGGGTCCCCTGGCCCTGCTCCCCGCAGGCTGGCCAGGGAAGTGTCAGCCTATCTTGGGACCTCTGGACCAGGCCTGGAGGAGGCATCTGTGCCCAGCCTGGGACACAGGCTAGGGGAGGTGGCAGGGTTCCCAGGGATCCATGGGAGCTGATGACCTGCAGAAAGCAGGGCCACCATCACTATCAGAGGCAGGGACTGTGATGCCAGACTCACCGGCATAGAGCCTGTCCTGCAGGATGTGATCGGCGGTGAAGATTTGGGCTCCAGAGGACAAGCTGAGACCAGGGCCAGGGCCAGGGGAATGTTTCCAAACCATGTGACACACAAAAGCTTGATTTCCCACCTGAGACCAAGGGCTCTTACAAACAGGAAAAGCGGCACACACGTGTGCACACGCCAGCCTGCCCACAGGCTAGGGGAGCTGGGGAAAGACCATACCTGGCCGGGGGCAGCTGGGCAGTTGACATGGCAGGGTGGGGTGGGAGACCAGGGCTCCATGGACATGATGAGTGGAGGTAGCTTGAGCACCCGTCCCCAGGGCTCCAGGGAGGAGGGTCTTGGGCCACAGAAGGCTGGGTGGAGCTGCCTGGGGAGTGGGCCTGGGCCTGTCCTGGTGTCCTGGGGCAAGAGTGATGTGGCCTCAGGCACAGGTCTGTGGGCTCCCAACTGGGATGGCCTCCCCCTGTGGAAGGATGAGGGCTCACGGAGACCAAGGCTCAGGAGGGGTGGGCTTTGGGGGGCAGCATGCCACCTTTCCATGGAGCTGTTCTGCCAGTAACCGAGGGACCCCTGGGCAGACGGTGGCCGTGGAGCCCAGCAGGCTTGGGTGCTCCGGGAGGGAGGGACAGGGTGCAGACCCTAAGCGAGGAGCCCCAGTGGGAGTGGTGCGTCCCTGCTGGCCAGGTGCAGGGTGCCGCGTAGCCCTGAGTGGCTGAGCCTGGTCCCCTCTCTCCTGCAGGCCTGGTGAAGTTGGGAATCCACTGTGTCACATGCCAGAAAGTCGCCATCAAAATCGTCAACCGTGAGAAGCTGAGCGAGTCTGTGCTGATGAAGGTGAGCTGGCTGGGTGGGGTGGGGGCGGGGCCTCTGCAGTCCCTCTGGATGGGGACAGGCGCCCCAGGACCTCCTCCTCCCCTGTGCCCACTCCTCCTGGCCACAGCAAGTGGCTTCCCTGGCTGAAGGACAGGCCCCTAGCAGACAGACCTCCCTGGTGTTCTCACCTACTGCACCTGTTTCCCCAGTTAGAATAGAGGAGACCCCGTCCCTGAGGAGCCCCTCCCCACATCAAGACCAGGCTGGGGGCGGGGCGCATGTGCTGGAGTCTGGTCACTGGGACTAGTGCAGCTCTGTGGGTAGAAGGCTCCTGGGGTCTGTCCAGCCCCTCAGTGGGCTACTGGATCCTTGGGGCATTATGAGGCCTGACTTTGGTGGGGCAGAGGTCCCGAGACCCTGTTCCCACCATATGGGTATGGGACGGGCTGGGGTTGCTGCAATGGCCAAAAGAGTGTCCCCTTCAGCAGGGCTGAGGCCGAGCCCCCGCCTGGGTGCTGGACAGCTCTGATGGTGTCCTCGTTCAATCCCTCATCCTCCAAGGTGTCTGGCCACGCAGGTGCACAGGGCCTGGGGGCATCTCTGCAGGGCAGAGCTGGCCTGGACCAGGCCTGGTGGTGGGAGCTAAGACAGGTGACAAGGACAGGGCTTAGGTTAGGGTTGGGAGCAATGGCCAGGATGAAAATGACCGAGACCCATGGGGATTTAGGGACTGTTGATGTTATAGTTTTAAGGGTGCATGGCTGCTGGAGGCAGCAGACACTGGATTGGGAAAACCAAGCACCCGGAGGAGAGTTGCGCAGCTGTAAGGGACAGGACAGCAGCTTGGATGGACTGGAGACTTGAGGGGTTGGGAGCTGACCTCTGACCCTGCCGTGGGGTGCAGCTGAGGCTCAGGGGGGCCAGGGCAAAGGCAGCACCCAGCTCAAGTGGGGCTCAGGATGAATGCTGAATCTGGGACACGTGAGTGGGAAGCATAGAGCCCAGTGGCAGGAGGCCAAAGCGTGGGGAGGAGGCCTGGCACCACGGGGGGAGAAGGGCCAGGGGCAGGTGCAATGAGGGGCACTGAGCTGCCACCCTCCTGCCTGGGTGACTCCTCCCTGCCAGCTTCCGCAGGGCAGAGCAGATGTAGAGGAGGGTGAGGCCCTGCCTGCCGCTCAGAAGCAGGCCTGTGGTGTCCTCTGTCCACCATGCTCTCAGGGGCCACTTCTGACCTCCCTGGGCCCTGGGACAGGCTCTGTGCTCCCCACAAAGGGGTGGGGGAAGCCAGGACATTTTTCTCACAGCCTGCTGTGCTGCACATGTATACACACAGGTGGCTGCGCACCCACCTGCAGCCCTGCCCAGGCTACAGCTGCCCAGGTAGGTCTGTCCTGGCTGCTCACCCTGGACTCGCCTGGAGCAAGTCATAGCCACATGCAGTGGGGACCAGGCCAAGGGCACCCTTTTCCCTAGTCTACCCCAAAAGCAAGGTCAGATAGTGAGTGGACAGGCAGTGCTCTGGTGGGGAGAGCTGCTCGTCAAGCCCTGGCTTTGAGGGTGGCCTGATAATCGTCCACTTGGCAGGTGGAGCGCGAGATCGCCATCCTGAAACTCATCGAACACCCACATGTCCTGAAGCTGCATGACGTCTATGAGAACAAAAAATATTTGTAGGTATTGCTGGGCTGGAGTGCTGGGCTGGAGAGGAGTACTGGGATGGAGTGGAGTTTTGGGCTGGAGTGGAGTGCTGGCTGGAGTGGAGTGTTGGACTGGAGTGGAGTTTTGGGCTGGAGTGGAGTGCTGGCTGGAGTGGGGTGCTGGCTGGAGTGTGGTGTTGGGCTGGAGTGGAGTACTGGGCTGGAGTGGAGTGCTGGCTGGAGTGCAGGGTTGGGCTGGAGTGCAGGGTTGGGCTGGAGTGGAGTGCTGGCTGGAGTGGAGTGTTGGGCTGGAGTGGAGTTTTGGGCTGGAGTGGAGTGCTGGCTGGAGTGGGGTGCTGGCTGGAGTGTGGTGTTGGGCTGGAGTGCGGTGTTTGGCTGGAGTGCAGTGCTGGTTGGAGTGGAGTTTTGTGCTGGAGTGGAGTTTTGGCTGGAGTGAAGTGCAGGGCCGGAGTGAGTGCTGGGCAGACTGCAGTGCTCGTTGGAGTGGAGTCCAGGGCTGAAGTGTAGTGCTTGCTGGAATGCAGTGCTGTGGTGGAGTGCAGTGATTTGGTGGAATGCAGTTCTGGCTGGAGTGTAGTGCTGGCTGGAGTGCAGTGCTGTCTGGAATGCCATGCTAGGCTGGAGTGCCATGCTGGCTGGAGTGCCGTGCTAGGCTGGAGTGCCATGCTGGCTGGAGAGCCATGCTGTGGTGGAGTGCAGTGCTGGGCTGGAGTGCAGTGCTGGCTCGAGTGTAGTGCTGGCTGGAGTGCAGTGCTGGCTCGAGTGTAGTGCTGGCTGGAGTGCAGTGCTGGCTCGAGTGTAGTGCTGGCTGGAGTGCAGTGATGTGTTGCAGTGCAGTGCTGGGCTGGAATGGAGTGCTGGATGGAGTGTAGTGCTGTGGTTGAGTGCAGTGCTGGCTGGATTACAGAGTTGGCTGGAGTTGAATGCTGGCTGGAGTGCAGTGCTGGGCTGGAATGCTGTGCAGGTCTGGAGTGCAGTGGAGTGATGGGCTGGAGTGCAGTGCTTTGGTTGAATTCAGTGCTGGCTGGAGTACAGAGCTGGCTGGAGTGGAGTGCTGGGCTGCAATGCAGTGCTGGCTGGAGTGCAGTGCTGTGGTAGAGTGCAGTGTTGTGGTGGAGTGCAGTGCTGGCTGGAGTGGAGTGCTGGGCTTGAGTGGAGCTCTGGCTGGACTGGACCTCGGGCTGGAGTGCTGTGATGAGGTGGAGTACAGTGCTGGCTAGAGTGGAGCTCAGGCTGGAGTGCAGTGCAAGTCTGGAGTGTAGTGCTTGCTGGAGTGCAGTGCTGTGGTGGAGTGCAGTGTTGGCTAGAGTGCAGTGCTGGTTGGAGTGGAGTGTTGTGCTATAGTGGAGTGTGGGGCTGGATTGGAGTGCTGGCTGGAGTGCAGTGCAGTGCTGGAGTGAAGTGCTAGGCTGGAGTGGAGTGTTGGGCTGGAGTGCAGTGTTGTGGTTGAGTGCAGTGCTGGCTGGAGTACAGAGGCTCCCTGGAATGGAGTGCTGGGCTGGAGTGCAGTGCTGGCTGGAGTGTGCTGGCTGGAGTGCAGTGCTGGGCTGGAGTGGAGTGCTGAGCTGGAGTGCAGTGCTGTGGTGGAGTGCAGTGTTGCGGTGGAGTGCAGTGCTGGCTGGAGTGGAGTGCTGGGCTTGAGTGGATCGCTGGCTGGACTGGGCCTCGGGCTGGAGTGCAGTGCTGAATGGAATGCAGTGCTGGCTAGAGTGGAGCTCAGGCTGGAATGCAGTGCAGGTCTGGAGTGTAGTGCTGGCTGGAGTGCAGTACTGTGGTGGAGTGCAGTACTGTGGTGGAGTGCAGTGCTGGCTGGAGTGCAGTGCTGTTGGAGTGGAGTGTTGTGCTCTAGTGGAGTGTCGGGCTGGAGTGGACTGGCTGGAGTGGAGTGCTGGGCTGGAGTGGAGTGTCGGGCTGGAGTGTTGTGGTTGAGTGCAGTGCTGGCTGGAGTACAGAGGCTCCCTGGAATGGAGTGCTGGGCTGGAGTGCAGTGCTGGCTGGAGTGCAGTGCTGGCTGGAGTGGAGTGCTGGGCTGGAGTGCAGTGCTTTCTGGAGTGCAGTGTTGTGGTGGAGTGCAGTGCTGTGGTTGAGTGCAGTGCTGGCTGGAGTACAGAGCTGGCTGGATTGGAGTGTTGGGCTGGAGTGCAGTGCTGGCTGGAGTATAGAGCTGGCTGGAGTGGAGTGCTGGGCTGGAGTGCAGTGCTGTGGTGGAGTGCAGTGCTGGCTGGAGTTCAGTGATGTGGCACAGTGCAGTGCTGACTGGAGTGCAGTGCTGGCTGGCCTGGATCTTGGGTGCAGTGGAGTACTGGGCTGGAGTGGAGTGCTGGCTGGAGTGCAGTGCTGTGGTGGAGTGGAGTACTGGCTAGAGTACAGAGCTGGCTGGAGTGGAGTGATGGGCTGGAGTGGAGTGCTGGCTGGACTGGAGCTCAGGCTGGAGTGTAGTGGGCTGGAGTGCAGTGCTGGGGTGGAGTGCAGTGCTGGCTGGATTGGAGCGCTGTGTGATGGGGTGCTGGCTGCAGTGTGGGCTGGATGGGTTGTAGAGAGGCCATGTGGCTGGCAGCACAGGCTCTTGCCTCACCCTCTGTGATCTCTCTGTGGGTGTTCTGGTGGGCAGTGGAAGAGCCTTGTCTCAGGCCACAGAGGCCATTGCTTCTTAACCAGACCCATAGGACTCACAGAACCATCAACTTGAGGCCATTGTGGGGTTGGGACAAACTTCCTGGAAAAGGGGCAGCCGTTGGGCAGGAGCACTTGGACCCTCCTAACAGTGGTCCTGGAGCTTTGTGGTTCCTCTGCCAGGGTGGCCACAGCTCCGTACCCCCACTGGGCCTTCCACCTACCAGTCTCCCTCAAGGGACCTGGGGTCCCTAGCTGGCTGACCTTTGTCACCACCATGGTGGCCACAGAGCCTCTCCACCCTGGCATACCTAGGTGGGACTCCCAGCTCCCCTGTCCACTGCATAGACCATGCCTGGCCTCACTGAGCTTGCCTGCAGAGCTCCATGTGCTGGTCTAGGCCAGGTAAGGGCTGCATGCAGAAGGGTGCTGGACGTCCTGAAGCCTGGAGCCCCTCCCCACTGCCCACCTCTCCAGGGCTTGCTGCAGACGCAGTATCATGCTGTCCTGGGCAAGCTGCTGAGCTCTCTCGACCCCATTTCCTCGTCTCCAATGGGGACAGTGCACTGCTGGCCAACTCTGAGTGTTTTCCTGGTGGCAGGAGAGCCAAGGGCCCCTCTCAGTCGAGGATGGGGTACAGTGGCTGGGGTCTGTCACCACAGACCTGGAAGCTGTGGCAGAGTTCACCTGGACCTCTCACCCGTGTGGGGGGCTGCCAAGGGGCCCAGCAGGGGTGACAGCTGCACCTCGTCCTTCTGCCCTCTCCGACCTACCAGGGTGGGGGCAGGTGGGGGCACAGGCAGGTTTGGGGCAGGCCAGGCTCACGTCCCTGTGGCACAGGACTCCTCCTGGGCTCCCACCTCTGCTGGGTTCCTGTGGAAGCCTGAGCCGGGTGCCTGCATGGGAAGGCAACTCTGGAGAGGCTTCCCAGCAGGGAGAAGGGCGGGGGAGAGCCGGTGGGACACGGCCTGGCCAGAGACAGAGGACAGGGAAAGGAGGAGCCCACGGGGAGGCCAGAGCAGCCAGGTGTGCTCCCAGGGACTCCCAACCTCACCTGGGTCGCTGTTCTGAGGCCCTGCGGAGCACCACGTGGCCAGTGCTTGGGCCCTGCCCCACATGCTGCCAACTCCCCAGACCAGCCTTCCTGCCCAGAGTCCCACCCAGTGCCCACACGTCTGCCTTCTCAGTGCAGACAGGTCCTCCTGCCGCAAGGCTGAGCCTGTCCTTGGTGCCACTGCCCCATACCCACTTGGGGGTGTCTCCCGCTTCTGTGCTGTCCCCATCTGTTCACCTGCCCCATGTCCCTGAAGTTACACCCAGGCCCCACCTCAAGGGCCTCTACACAGCATGTTCTGAGCCCCTCCCCAGTCTGAGTAGGACTGCAGCTGCTCCCCTGAGGTCACCAAACACCAGAGTCCACACTGCCCGTGGCCCCTGCTGCCCCCATTGAGAAGCCAGCCCCTAGGGCTCTACCCTGTGGCTAAGTGCCTGCAGGCAGGGAGAGGAGCATCAAGCTGTGCCAGTCCCCGCAAGTTCTGTTTGGATGCTGAGTCCACTTCTCACAGGCCATGCTTAGAGGAGCATGGGACAGCCCCCTCCGTGGGGAGGCAGAGCTGGCCACCTGCTGAACCTGGTGCCCCCTCACTGATCCCTGTCTCCTCAGGCATCCCATGACCTCAGCCCTGGCCCCTCTGCACAGCAGCTGCTGGTCCATGGCCCCGCCCCTGGGGCAGCACTCGGCAGCCCTCCCCACTGCATGGGGGCCACTGAGGTGTGAAGGGCGGGACAGGGCAGCGCCCGTGCACCACCCCCTCAGAGCCCAGCCCACCTGCACTGCTTGGAGGTCCGCCAGAGACCCAGCCTGTCCTCCACCCAGACCCTGGGCTCCCTAGGCTTGCGCAAGAGGGCCAGGGTGTGAGTGCCAGGGTGTGGCAGTGCAGCTGCTGATGCCCCCTGTCCCGCAGATACCTGGTGCTAGAACACGTGTCCGGGGGGGAGCTGTTCGACTACCTGGTGAAGAAGGGGAGGCTGACCCCCAAGGAGGCCCGCAAGTTCTTCCGGCAGATCATCTCCGCGCTGGACTTCTGCCACAGTCACTCCATATGGTGCGGCCCCAGCCCGAGGCCAGTGTCCACACAGCTCCCTGGGGCACCTCCCAGGGCGCTCAGAGCCACTGTCGGGACCCAGCACGCTGGGCCAGGATACCTCCCCTTCTCTCAGGCACACGGGTTGTCATTGGCCACCGTTCAGGATGGGGGTTTGAGGGAGGGCTGCAGTTGGTCAAGGGCTGTCTGTGAAGCCCAGTGGAGGGTGTGGGGACCTTGGCGAGCCAAGCCCGGGCCTCCCTCCCCAGCCACAGGGACCTGAAGCCAGAGAACCTGCTGCTGGACGAGAAGAACAACATCCGCATCGCAGACTTCGGCATGGCGTCCCTGCAGGTGGGGGACAGCCTCCTGGAGACCAGCTGTGGGTGAGCGGTGCCCCTGCGTCTCTGTCTGCCGCGGGGAGGGAGACGGATGGGCAGCGGTTCTGGGCTCCAGGCCTCAGCTCCCGCAGAGCATGTGGGGATTTAGGTCGTGGGAGCTTCCTTGGGAGCCATGGGCCCGCTGGGCATCCTCCCAGGCCCGGGCTGGAGGGGAATGCCTCTGGGCGGAGCGGGGCCTGGACGGCAGGTCGGGGCCTCCGCTCGCTGACCCACCGCTTTTGTCCGCAGATCCCCCCACTATGCCTGCCCAGAGGTGATCCGGGTAAGTTCGCGCTGCAGCCGGTGGTGGAAGGGGGCGGTGGGTAGGTTGGAGCGTCTCCGCCCGGCAGGGCCTGGCCCGCGCCACCCCAGCCCTGCCCGCGCCGACCCGCTGCCCTCCGCCCTCCGCCCGCAGGGGGAGAAGTACGACGGCCGCAAGGCGGACGTGTGGAGCTGCGGCGTGATCCTCTTCGCCCTGCTGGTGGTGAGCGCCCGCCCCGCCCCCGCCCCGCCCCGTGCCCGCGGGCCGCCGTGACCGAGCCTGCCTGCCCACAGGGGGCGCTGCCCTTCGACGACGACAACCTGCGGCAGCTGCTGGAGAAGGTCAAGCGCGGGGTGTTCCACATGCCGCACTTCATCCCGCCCGACTGCCAGAGCCTGCTGCGCGGCATGATCGAGGTGGACGCGGCGCGGCGCCTCACGGTGCGTCCTGCCCTCCCGGACCTCGCCTGGGGGCCCGCCCCTGCGCAGCCCCCGCCCCTTGCCGGTGGCCTGCTGGGCCGAGGAGTCACCAGGGGGCTGGGTTCCTCAGGGTGCATGGGTGACCGCACCAGCGCCTGGGCGGTTTGGGGACCAGTGATGTGCCCAGGTGTGTGGACGCTTGGGCATGTGTGCCAGGGGTGGGAGTGAGTGTGCCAAGAGTGTGTGTGCTCAGGTGTTGGAGAGTGTGTGCCAGCTGTGGGAGTTAGTGTGCCGGGTGCCATGTGTGGGTCAGGTGTGCCAGGGTTTGTGTGCCCAGGTGTGGAAGAGCGTGTGCCATGGGTGTGTGCACAGGTGTGGGAGTGAGTGTTCCAGGATTGTGTGCCAGGAGCATGTGTGCTCAGGGGTGAGAGTGTGCACAGGTGTGGGACAGCATGTGCCAGGGGTGGGTGTGCCCAGTTGTGGAAGAGTGCATGCAAGTATGTGTACACAGGTGTGGGAGTGTGCCAGGGGTGTGCACATCCAGGGTGTGTGTGCCAGGTGTGGGAGTGAGTGTGCCCGGTGCCCTGTGTGGGTTAGTGTGTGCTGGGGTGTGCACATTCAGGGTGTGTGTGCCAGGTGTGGGTCAGTGTGAGCCAGGGTCCCTGTGCACAGGATGGGAGAACACATGCCAGATGGGTGTGCTCGGGTGTATGAGTGTATATCAGAGTGTGCGTGTACAGATATGAGAGAGCCTGTGCAGGGATGTGTGCTCGGCTGTGTGCCCAGGTGTGGGATTATACAGAGGTGGGTGTGCGCACAGATGTGAGTGTGTCAGGGCCGTTTTGCCTAGGTGTGTGTGGGCATGCCCAAGTGCTCAGGTGGGTGGCAGGCCTGTGCCTGTGTGACAGGGGAATGCTGGTGACCACGCTGGGCATCTCCCTAACTGCTGTCCTGCCTCTGGTGTCCTGGGGAAGCCCCGGGGCAGAGTGAGGCCTTCCCCGAAGGTGGCTGCATCAGGCGAGGGGCCCTCCAGGCAGGACGGCCATTGCCCATAGAGAGGAGCAAGTGCCCTCTGGGCCGGCCTTTCCAGGAGGAGGGACTATCTCTCTCCCCCAAGCACGCTGTCCCTGAATCTGTGGAGAAGGGCTGTAGTGGGGCTGCCTGGCCTCCTGACCACACTGCACCAGCCCTCCCTGCCACCTGGCCCTCCTGGCTTGGGCTGCTTTCCCTCTCTGCCCCTGGGATCCAGGAGAACCTGGCCTGGGCAGTTGCCTGGAGGGCTCTGCTGGCTCCTCTGCCTCCCTCCTCCCAGGCCCTGCCCTGCCAGCCCCCTCCCCTGGTGGTTCCCTCTGCACCTGGGGAGGCAGGGCAGGGGTGCTGGCCTGGGCCCCGCCCTGCCTCCCGGCTCCTGCTCTCCCTGCCTCCTAACGTGGGCGCCCCCGTACTAACTCCCTTTCTCTCTTTCCTTGTAGCTAGAGCACATTCAGAAACACATATGGTATATGTAAGTAGCTTCTCTGACCACTAACGCCCGCTTTGCCTGTTGCTGTGGCCTGTGAGGAGGGGGGAGGGCACTGGCCAGCGTGGGCTGCCCCAGCCTTGCTGTCAGCTGTCCTGTGCTGGTGTGGCAGGACGCAGGAGGCCTGCAGGGGCTGGTCATAGAGACAGCAACAGGACTCAGGGGCCCAGATGAGGGCGGGCCTCCCACCCTCCTGGCCACCTTAGGGTGGGTGGAGTGGCCTCCGGCTAGCTGGAGTGAGTGACCCCTGGTGCTGTGTTGTCCACAGAGGAGGCAAAAATGAGCCTGAGCCAGAGCAGCCCATCCCCCGAAAGGTGCAGATCCGTTCGCTGCCCAGCCTGGAGGACATCGACCCCGACGTGCTGGACAGCATGCACTCCCTGGGCTGCTTCCGAGACCGCAACAAGCTGCTGCAGGACCTGCTCTCTGAGGAGTATGTCCTGGGTGGGCAGGAGGGGCTGGCTTGGCCATGGGCTCCACACTCCAGCTCTGGCAGCTTTGGGGAAGGTGGCCAGAGGCAGCGTCCTCCTGGACCACGGGCAGGCACACTGTCCAGGAGTGTTTGGGAGCCAACCCTCCTGGTGCCTCTCGCCCCAAACAGGGAGAACCAGGAAAAGATGATTTATTTCCTCCTCCTGGACCGGAAAGAACGGTACCCCAGCCATGAGGACGAGGACCTACCCCCCAGGAATGAGATAGGTATGAGGCCTCCAGCCCATGCTGAGTCCTGGGGCTTGCTGGAAGCCAGGGCTGACCCCTGTCTGCACACAGACCCTCCCCGGAAGCGTGTGGACTCCCCGATGTTGAACCGGCACGGCAAGCGGCGGCCCGAGCGCAAGTCCATGGAGGTGCTCAGCGTGACAGATGGCGGCTCCCCGGTGCCTGCGCGGCGAGCCATTGAGATGGCCCAGCATGGCCAGAGGTGCGTGCCTGCCCTAGGGTGCCACACCAAGGCAGCACCCTCCTAGGCTGCTCTAGACCTGGCCTCGTCTCTTCCCACTGGTCCTGAGATCTGGGCCAAGGCCACTGGCTGATCAGAACTGCACGGTGCTGGGGTTGCTAGCAGGACCGCACAGGCTGAGCTGGACTGAAATGGACTAGGCTATGCTGGGCTGAGCTAGGCTGAGCTGAGCTGGACTGGGCTGAGGGGCTGGGCTGAGCTGAGCTGGGTGGGCTTCACTGGGCTGAGCTGTGCTAGGCTGGACTGGACTAAGCTGTGCTGGACTGATCTGAGCTGGGCTGAGATGGGCTCAGCTGAACTGGGCTGGACCAGGCAGAGCTGAGCTGGGCTGGGTGACTTGGCTGACTGAGCTGGGTTGATCTGAGCTGGGCTGGGCTGGGCTGGGCTGAGCAGAGCAGAGCAGGGCTGGGCTGAGCAGGGCTGGGCTGGGCTGGGCTGGGCTGGGCTGAGCAGAGCAGAACTGGGCTGAGCAGGGCTGGGCTGAGCAGGGCTGGGCTGGGCTGAGCAGGGCTGGGCTGGGCTGAGCAGAGCAGAGCAGGGCTGGGCTGGGCTGGGCTGGGCTGAGCAGAGCAGAACTGGGCTGAGCAGGGCTGGGCTGAGCAGGGCTGGGCTGGGCTGGGCTGAGCAGGGCTGGGCTGGGCTGAGCAGGGCTGGGCTGAGCAGAGCAGAACTGGGCTGAGCAGGGCTGGGCTGAGCAGGGCTGGGCTGGGCTGAGCAGAGCAGAACTGGGCTGAGCAGGGCTGAGCAGAGCAGAACTGGGCTGAGCAGAGGGCTGGGCTGGGCTGAGCAGAGCAGAACTGGGCTGAGCAGGGCTGGGCTGGGCTGAGCAGGGCTGAGCTGGGCTGTGCTGTGCTGAGCTGTGCTGAACTGGACTGAACTGGGCTGAGCTGGGTTGAACTGGGCTGAGCTGTGCTGGGCTGGGCTGGGCTGGGCTGGTCTGTCCTGTGATCAAGCCATGTTGAAAGCTGCCAGTCCAGAAGGCTTGTCCCTCATTGATGTTTGACCCTCTGTGGGTGGCCAGTGGCAGTGTCATGGCCAGGGATGTGGAATCTGGGGGAGTGCTGAGTGGGTGTGTGTCCCGTAGGACCCCTGGAGGGAGAAAGGGTGCCCAGAACCTGCATTGCCTGGGTGGGACGGAGCTGTGGGAGATGCTAGGTGTGGCCTCTGAGAAGGGGTCTCCAGTCTTCCCTCCCCAGGTGGGAGTCCTAGTTGTGTGAGACAGACATGGGCCTGGAGTCCCATCAGCCCTGGCTGTCATTGTTCAGCCTTGGGGTCTGGGCCAGCACCCCACTGCCCCCTCTCTCTAGTGGGCAGTGGGGTGCCAAGGGCCTCACCAGAGGAACTTGCCAGAAACTGCGGAAACACAAGGCAGCTGGGTGGCCATCAGGATAAACTGCCAGACCTCAGTGCTGGCCCCAGGCCCTCACCAGGGATCAGGGCTGGCTGGGCCTTCAACCCCAGGGTGCCAGCCCTCAGGGTCCTCCTTCCAGTTCACCAGCTGCCAGCCTGGGGCAGCCAGGGTCTCCTCTGGTGTCCTGCTTGCTGTAGGCATGCTGCTCCTTGCAGGACCCTCCCAGCAGCCTGAGCGCATGCCTTCTGCTCTTGTGGCCATCACCTTCCCTGGGCCTTGCAGGGCAGGCTGGGGGCCAACCTGAGCCCTTCCCACCCTGCATGGCCTGAACTCCTGCCCCAACCCCCAGGCCTGGCTGCTGTGGGGTGGGACTGCCCCAGGGTTTCAGAGGCCTTTTGGCCTGGCACACCTAGCCTGCTTTAGCTTCTGGCTTGGCCTCTTGGCACTGGGCCGCAGGGGCCACTGGCCAGGACTGCAGGGGTCCTGGGGCTGGGGTGGGGGCTGGGCATCCCCCGAGGCCTGGCCACCCTGCCCAGCAGGTTGCTCAGGCAAGCTTGCTGTGGCTCCTGCCCCGTCCTCTCTCGCCGTCTCTGTGTGCTGGTCTGGGGTTGTCAGGTCATGCCCTACCTCAGAGCTGTGTGGAGGTCTCGCCCGTGTGGCCCGGGCGGCAGACGGGCCTGGCAGTGACCTGCGTGCGTGTGGCCGTGGCAGTAACTCTGTTTTCTCGCTTTGTTCCTGCTGTAGTAAAGCAATGTTCAGTAAAAGCCTGGATATCGCTGAAGCCCATCCCCAATTCAGCAAAGAAGACAGGTACACACCCTGCCCGTCCGTCCGCCCTCCCAGACCCAGACACACAGCCCCTGCCTGGCCAGGCAGGCACAGGCAGGGCCTGGAGGCGGGGCTGGGCTGGGCTGCAGACGCTTCCTGACCCCTGCTCTCTGGGAATGGAATGTCCAGCCAGCCAAGGAAGGAGCATGGCCAGCTGTGCTGTGGCCCAGGAGGGGTGGGTTTGCTGGGGCAAGGCTGATGGCCAGCCCGGGGGAAAGACCGGCACACGGTGTGTACACAGGCCCAGGGTGGGGGGCACCACTATGCTCCCCACCCTAGGAGCCCCACGTGGCAGCAGGGAGGCCTCCCTTTTGCCGGCGCTTGGCCTTGGTCCAGTGGGCCTGGCTGGCACTGGCTGCTGTGGCCCTGCTGCCCACAAGGGCTGGGATCAGCCACCCCGTTCCCCTGTGCTGGCAGGTGGTGGCTGACACCCTGGGTGGGGGCACTGCCTGCAGAGCTGCCTCCCAGAGCTCTGGCCCCTTGGGCCTCGTCCCTGTGGAGCCTGCCTGTGCCCTGGCCCCTCCCTCACCCTGCACCCCCCTCCACTGTCCTCAGGACCGCGCCTTTCCTGACGTGCCAGTTGTAGCTCAGTGTCCGGGGGCCAGGCAGGAGGCCTGCTCAGCCCCAGCCCTGCCGCAGCTCCTCTGCTCTCCTCGCGCCAGGTGGCAAGCTCCTGGCTGGCCTGGGGAGCCTGGGGCCCTGATCTTGCTTGCTCGTGGCTGCTGCCCCCAGGGCACCCCCTCTCCCTGGACACCTCCTTGGGGCCGGGCTCCCTCTCTGCACCTGGGCTTTGCCCAATGCTGGCCCAGGCAGGCTCCTGGCAGAGGGTCTCGCTGCCTCCCTCTCCCTTGGCAGTCAGGTGGGGAGACCTGCAGGTTGCTGCCACGGGGCCCTTCCCACAGGTGCCTGGGGGCCAGCTGGGAACCAGGCAAGGGCCAGGGTGGCCAGGGTGCTGGCGCCCTCAGTAGCTCCTGAGCCTAGGAGCCAGTCCTCGGTATGGGCCGGGAGGCCCTTTGCAGCCGGGCTGGCCAGCAGTGGGCACACTGGGGGCAATGTGGGATGGTCTTTTACTCTTTCCTGTCCTCTTCTCTTCTGTGGCTGCCACCCCTGCCCCCGTTTCCCTCCTCTAAGGATGGCAGGTGCCGCTGCCCAGGGGTGAGATGGCCTTTGCTTGTCCTCTCTTTTGGTGTGGTGGGGCCAAGGCCTGTGCCTGCCCTCAGGCAGCTGCTCACCTGTGGTGGTGGACACATGGGCTCTCTGCTGTGCCTGGCCGGTCTTCAGCCAAGTGGGGCAGTGATGGTGCAAGAGGAGGGCTCTGGGCTGGCCGCAGGCGTCTCTTGTGGACATTTGTGGATGTGGAGGGCTGGGCTAGTGCCCAGCTGGTGGTCCACACACCCGTCGCTGTGACAGCTCAGCCTTGGGGTCCGTGCTCAGGCAGCAGGGGAGTGGACCCAACAGGAGGCTTGGCAAGGATGGGGCTGGACCCAGTTCACAGCAAGCCTCCACCTTGCCCCTCGTCCCTCCATCTACCCAGGGGCCTGCAGACCTTGCTGAGGCCCTCTGGGCACCTTATCCTGTGCCAGGCCTGGGCTGATGGTGGTTCCTGTGTGTGGGGAGGAGCCCCAAGGACCCCAGCTGCACACTGGGTGCTGATGGGTGAGGTCAGCAGGGTGATCCTAGGCACAGCTGTGCATCCAGGGACCTCTTAGGGTTGGCAGGTGTGAACCAGGCCCCAAGGCCTGGGGGCTCTGGGCTGGGTCTCCAGGCCTCTTGGTGGTCCACCTGGGGAGAGGAGCAGGAGCCCCTCCTGGCCGAGTCACTGTTTTGTCCTTTGCCACCCCCAGGTCTCGGTCCATCAGTGGTGCCTCCTCAGGCCTGTCCACGAGTCCACTCAGCAGTCCCCGGGTGAGTGACCAGCCATCCTGACCTCAGCTGTGGGTCTGCCATCCCGCGTGCGCAGGGCCGGTGGGGGGGGCACAGGCCGGGACTCAAGCCCGCTGGGCTGGGCTGCCTTGTGGCTGCTGCTCTTGCTAACTGCACGTTCTTCTGTTTGTGTTGTTTGTTTTCTCGTCATTCCGTTTTCTTTTGTGGCCAACCCTCCCTGGCTGCCCGTCCGTCCTGCTTGGGGTCCTGTTTGATGCTCTGATGCTGGGTTGCATGGGGCGGGTGGGGCATGTGGGCGGCTGCATGGTCACCCTGCCCCCTGGTTCTCTGCTCCCTCGTAGCCCATTAGAAAGTCCATCCTGCCCCCCCCTCCCCCCGAGCTCCCCTCCACGGCCTGCCCCCTGGCCACCTCCCTGGAGCCTGAAGCTTGCCGGAGCACCTCGCGGCCTGGACCTGTCCTCCCTCCACAGGCCGCCCCACGGCCCAACCCCAAGACCCAGACCTTGCCGTGCAAGGCCAAGCTCACCGACAAGCCACTACAGGGCACCACGTCCAGTCCACTCCCCGCCTGCGCCCAGGCCCAGCCTCCTGTCGCCAGCCTCAGCCCCCCGCTGGCCTTGCCCCCAGGCCCCCTGGCCCTGCCACACCCTGCCCGGCTCCCTCCCGCTGGGACTGAACCGAACACCAAATCTGTCCCCACCATACAGGTGACCCCTCACCCCTCGCCGAGGGGCAGTCCCCTCCCTACCCCCAAGGGGACGCCCGTCCACACGCCAAAGGAGAGCCCAGCCGGCACGCCCAACCCCACACCGCCATCCAGCCCAAGTGTTGGAGGGGTGCCCTGGCGGACACGGCTCAACTCCATCAAGAACAGCTTCCTGGGCTCTCCCCGCTTCCACCGCCGGAAACTTCAAGGTCAGAGCCAGCACCGGCCAGGGCAGGGGACCAGGGCAGGGGACAGCTCCAGGCCTGCCCAGCCCTATTGGAGTTGCCTGCAGACAGATGGCAGGGTCTGGGGGCTGCTCTGCAGCCTTGGTGCCCTCTCAAGTCTGCCCTCGCCCCATCCCAGCTCCTCCCCTCACGCTCCCCACTGTACCCAGTATCCGCCGCCTTCTTGGGGGCTGTTCTACCAGAAGCTGTGGCAGCAGCCACGTTGCCCGAGGCTCACCTCACACAGGCTGGGCCAGCACCTCTGGGTGTCGGCATCGCCAGCTGTCAGCTGGAGCTGCCTGAGCCCAGGGAGGAGGATCGGCTGCCACGGGTGGTGGGCAGTGCACAGGCCCTGCACGGTGCTGGGTGACCAGCTGGGTCTGGGCTGGTTGGAGGCTGAAGGAGACACAGCTCGACTTCAGCACCAGAGGCTGGACAGCTCCCTGCAGGCTGAGGGCTGGTGGAGTTGATGGGGGAGCTGGGGCAGGGGCTGAGCCTCTCTCTCCCTCTTCTTCCCTTGTGTGCAGTTCCCACACCCGAGGAGATGTCCAACCTGACCCCGGAGTCCTCCCCAGAGTAAGTGGATCCTGGAGGTCTCCTGGCACTGGACACCAGACCAGCTGGGGAGGGACTTGGGAGACCCTTCCCAAGGGCAGGTGGGGTCCTTCTCGAGGCGGCCCTGCTTGTTCCCCTGGTCCCACTGCAGGCAGGGCCCGACTGGGGCTGCTGAGTCTCACCTTGGGCCCCACTGGGGTGAGGTGTGCAGGGGGTGCACTGTGCTTCCCAGGGCCTGGGGGATCGTAGGGACAGTCGGGTCTCAGGAAGTCGGGCTTTGCTGAGGAGGGATAGCTGCAGGATGCAGGGCCCAGCAGCAACATGGAGGACCTAGCAGGCTGGGTAGGAGCTTGGGGACATGGCCTTGGCAGAGGCTTGGTAACAATGGAGTGGGCAGAGTGAGACCTGGCCCTGGCCCTCTTGAATGCTGAACTTGAGGAAAGGACACCCAGGCAGGCAGAGCCATGGCCACCCTGCAGACACCAGGTGCCTGTATGGCACATCCCATGGTGATGCCTGTGAGCGTCGAATCCTCTCTTTGTCCTTCTCAGTGGCCTCTACTGGTCAGCTCTCTGGCCACTGCTGAGGTACATGTGTGGAAGTGCTGCGTGACTCTTGTGCAGTGCTGCTGCAGGGCACAGCTTGGTGGGGGTCTTGTGGCCTCTGCGTACAATGGTGGTGGGGACAGCCTTGTCAGAGCGAGGGGAAAGACTTATCCTGCCATTGGTGCTCAGTAAGGAACCCCGGGAGGCAGCCTGCTCTGTGCTAAACCCTCTGGGAGCGGCGTATGCAGGGGAGCCGTGGACTTTCTGTCACGTTGTGGCGGAGGCACGGTGGCCAGCGGGTGCCGGGGAACCCTGTTTGGTTCTGCTGTCAGTTGGGCTGCTGCCAAAAGCTTTCAGCCTCAGACTTGCAAGTCTTCTGTGTTTTGGAAAAGTTGGAAGAAAGCCCCCACAGCCTGACTCCAGTGCACCAACCCGCTTCCTCTCTCGCTGGTGGGGGCCCTCGGAGCCTCATCCCCTCCCAAGGGCCTGAGCAGATGCAGTGGCCCCCAGGCTCAAGACGCCATCACCTCCTCCGTACTGAGGACTTGCTCCCTGGCTGCTGCCAGCCCAGGTTGTTCGTGGCTTCCAGAGACAACACGAGGACGGCCTTGTGAAGACTGGAGAATTCTCTCCTCTTGGGAAGCCTGTGTGTCAAGCCAGGCCCACTTCCTGAGGGGGTCGTCTGTCTCCCTGCGTTCACTGATCTAAGTGCTGTTCTCATCCCCAGACACCTGGTGTCCACACCCAGGCTGGACGATATGGCCCAGCCATGCGAACATGAGAGCTCCAGCAGAACCACCCCGGCCCACTCAGGCCCCTCTGGTCATTGGGCTTCTTTTAGACAGGGGACCCTCTGTGCCAGACGCCACACCACAGAACCCAAAGTCCAAGACCTCAGTTGTGATTCTCTGTCTTCCTTGAAGGAGGGGCGTCAGAAACCCATCTGTGTCTTCCCGTCTGCTCTGTAGGAGGCCCTGAGTGCCCCTGGTCTTCAGGCCCTGACGTGGGTACTGGGCATGGTCAGGCCAAGAGCTTACTCAGAGAGCTTCAAACAAGATGACCGTGGGCTTTGGGCAGCAGGAGCACGAAGGGGCTGGGTGGGAACATGGCGCTCAAAAGTCATGCTGAGCCTCAGGCCAGCCCAGGGCGGGTGTTGCCCGCGCAGGTCCTCCTGCCCTTGCTGCCCCCCCTATCTGCCCTGGGCCCAGATGCTGGCAGTGGCATGGGGGTACCTCCCTCCTGCCACCAGCCTCTGCACTGCCACCCCAGCCTGTGTGGGTGCACTGGATGTGTCTGCCCTACGGCTGCCGGTGTGCAGGCTGGTGGTCACTGGGGAGAGGAGCCCACTGTGGTGGTGTGCAGGCTGGGGGTCACTGGGGAGAGGTCCCTGCAAGCTCAGCGACTCCTGGTTTCCAGGGCGGGAGCCTGGATGTGCCCCACTGGGCACTGAGGTGGTGTCGCCTGGATGTGCCCCACTGGGCACTGTGGTGGTGTCGCCTGGATGTGCCCCACTGGGCACTGTGGTGGTGTCGCCTGGATGTGCCCCACTGGGCACTGTGGTGGTGTCGCCTGGATGTGCCCCACTGGGCACTGTGGTGGTGTCGCCTGGATGTGCCCCACTGGGCACTGTGGTGGTGTCCCAGGGCACTGGGGAGGAGCCCCTCCCAGCCCCGTGGTGGTGGGCAGGCTGGGTCCCCAGGGCTTCGGTGGGGAGACTGCCAGCAAGGTGGCAAGAGGCTGAGCCGTTTGCCCTCACTCAGAGGTGCCACCTGCACGTTTGCCATATCCCCCTGGTTCCCATTCCAAGGGGCAGTAGCCCCCTATGGATGCAACTGAGGCTGGCAGTGTCTGCCCAACACGCTGGCATCCAGCTCCTGTCCGGGCACGGGCTCCACCGCAGATGGCATCTGTGACTTAGGATAAGAGTGGAAAGGGGTTGGATGGCCTCATGCAGTGAGGATGAGGAGCAGGATGACCTGGGGTGGCAGGGGGCCAGGTGGGCCCGGGCCTGCCTGTCAGGCAGCTGAGGCCCGCTGGGCAGCAGTGGGTGCTGGCAGGCCAGTGGTCACCAGGTGCTGGGTCAATCTGAGGAAACAGGCTGTGGTAAGGTGGATCACATGGCCAGGTGTAGATCACACTGGCCCTGGACCAGGTCTGGGAGTCCAGGATCTACATGTGGGGCCTGGTCTCCCAGGCAGAGCCAGCAGCCATCATCCCTAGGTCACCTACCAGATGAAAGGGGCACGTGGCCCTGCTGTCTGCAGCTTCTCTCCCATGCCTGCCTGTACACCAGGTTGGGGGTACTTCTGCCAGGACGGGCACAGCAGGGACCTGGGAGCAGGGCAGGGCTGGGGCTCCCTTCTAGCTCCCACCCCTGCCTGGCTGGCTGGTGTCCAGCATGTGCAGCTGAGACCAGCAGGGCCTCTGAGAGCAGGTTCGGGGTAGGAGGTGGAGTTAGTACGTTTGGAGAGGGTTGGGACCACAGGCTTGGGCTAGGTTAGGGTTAGCGTGGGGGTCAGGTTAAGGTTTGGGGCTGAGTTTGGGGAGATGGTTATGGGTTTTGGCCACACAGTGGTGTTGGGGGTGGATGAATTAGGGGTGAGACGGGGCCAGCATTGGGGGCCGGTGGTGGGCCTGCCAGTCATCACAGCCTCTGTCCCCAGGCTGGCCAAGAAGTCCTGGTTCGGGAACTTCATCAACCTGGAGAAGGAGGAGCAGATCTTCCTGGTCATCAAGGACAAGCCCCTGAGCTCCATCAAGGCTGACATTGTGCATGCCTTCTTATCGGTGAGGCCAGGCAGGGCCTGGCGGGCTGCCCTCCCCTCTGGGTCCAGCCTATGCAGGCAGGCAGCTGGGGCCCAGAACGAGCCTTGGTGCCCTCTTGCCCACGTGCTTTCCTGCTTGGAGAAGCACTGCTGGGGGCCCTTGGCCTGCAGCAGGGGTGGGGGGCTGCTCTGGGCTGGCTGTGGAGGGATGGGCTCTGGGCATAGGGTGGGCTAGAGGCTGAGGGTCAATGCAGGTGGCCACACAGCTCAAGGGAGGCTGTGAGCTTGAGGGACCTGTGTGGGTTCCTGCTGACCTTCGGTGGACACCTGTTTCCTGTGCCCCTCTCCTCACCCATTGGTTTGTAGGCCTCACACAGCCCCTACCTTGCCCATGGAACCCAGTGGTCCCTGTGAGGCGGGGCCAGGCTTGGGGTCTTGAATGGGTGTCTCATCTTTTGGGTTCTGAAGAGCAGAAGGATCCTCAAAGACTTGAGTAGAGACATTGTTTTAGCCAGGATGTGAGCTCTCGGTCCATTCAGGGGGCTTCTGTCCCTGCTGACATCCTGTCCTGGCCTGTGTCCTGTCTGGGGACTGCCTTGTGCTAGGCCAGGCCTGTCTGGGGCCTTCTTAGCTCATATCCCCATCCTAGCCCATCCTGGTCCCCAATATGCTGGCACTTGGCCCAGGAGAATCATCCTGTACTGTGGTCATCCACCCTGAGGATGCCCCCCCCAGCCTCAGGATGCCCCCCCACCTCCCAGGGTGGCTTTTCCCCACTGGACACACTGCCCGAGGGACCCTCAAGCCTTACTATCTGTGTGTCTACAGCTAAGGACTTCCCCTGGTGCCCCAGAGAGGGCTCAAAACCCTGCCAGGGATGCCCAGCCTGGGAGAGCAGTTGGGTTCCAGGCTGCAGAAGACACCTGTTCTCTTGCAGTCCCTCACTGCTCTCAAGCCTGGGCCTGTCCCCTTCCCAGCCCCATCTACCACGTCCCTGCATGCTGCTCCTGGGTCGCCAGCCCAGCGTTAGACAGAGCCAGGGTCCTGGTCCCCTCCCAGTGCTGGCCAGAGGCCATGTGCTGGTGCGGCCTGTCTCCCATGGCTCTGCCCATGCTGCTCAGCACTGAGGATCTGATTGAGCTGGGGAGGACTCAGCCCCTGTGTGCCTGGGCTCCAGAAGACCCAGGGCAGGGGACAAAGTCTGCACCCTTAGTGGGGTGCTCTGATGCTCCCCTTAGCTCCTGCTCCCCAGCCTCAGGCTGCAGGGGTTCTCCTGGCCCTCCCTGCAGGCCCTCTCCACAGGCCCTCCCGCAGACCCCAGGGCCACAGTTTGCATGCTCCTGACAGGCGGGGGCTGGGGACAGTGACTCTGTTAGTCTTGCCTGCACCACGCCTGCCTCACAGATCTGGAAACAGGCTCAGGAGCACAGGGCCTGCGGCCTGGATTCTCTGTGTCGAGCAGGGCAGAGCTGCAGGGCTGCCTCCCAGGCTGCCTCCCAGGAGGGCCGGCTCTGCTCATGCTGCGCGCTGTGTGCTCTTCAGATCCCCAGCCTCAGCCACAGCGTCATCTCCCAGACGAGCTTCCGGGCTGAGTACAAGGCGACGGGGGGCCCAGCCGTGTTCCAGAAGCCGGTCAAGTTCCAGGTGGACATCACCTACACTGAGGGTGGTGAGGCCCAGAAGGAGAACGGCATCTACTCTGTCACCTTCACTCTGCTCTCAGGTGAGCCTGTGGCCGGGGGCAGCTTTGGATGGCTGTGCGGCACAGGGATATGACCCCTATCTCCCCCAGGTCCCAGCCGCCGCTTCAAGAGGGTGGTGGAGACCATCCAGGCCCAGCTGCTGAGCACCCATGACCAGCCGTCTGCCCAGCACCTGTCAGGTGAGGCGGAGGCTCAGCTAGGGCACCTGTGGCTAGCGAGTGGGGTGTGGCCAGTGGTGCTGTGTGGATGGGAGGTGTGAGGGCCCAGCACGGCCTCCCTGCCCCAAGCTGTGGCTGCACCGCTCAGGAAGCAGGGCCCCTCCCCGGGCACAGCGGGCTGCAGCACACTGAAAGGTGCCTCTTGTCCACTGTAGAACCCCCCCCGCCAGTGCCAGGACTAAGCTGGGGTGCTGGGCTTAAGGGCCAGAAGGTGGCCACCAGCTACGAGAGTAGCCTCTGACGCTGGCAGGTAAGGTGTCCGGCCTGCTGCCGGGGTGGGGAGGGGCTGCGGGCAGGGCCTGGCAAGAGCCAGGCTGGCCTTGAGAGGGGCACCCTATGCCCACTCGTCTGTTCTGGCCCTGGACAGGCCAGCGGGCCCAGCACCCAGGCAGCTGGACACTGGGGCAACCTGAGCAGGCTCTGGGAGTAGAGACCAAGGCCCTGCCCCTTGGGGCTCCCTGCCACACAGCACCCTAAGAGGGCTGGGGCTCCCCATCTCCCTGCAGCTCCTGACTACCTGAAGCCCTGCCTTGAGCAGCACAGGGACCTGGCCGCAGAGCAGGGTACTCAGGGGAGGGCTGCTAGGCCCTGGCCAGCAGGGGCATCCAGGCCACTGGCATCTGGTGGGGAGAGGCAACAGCTGCACACCTGGCCCTGTGCATGGCACACGCGTGTGGGCCCCAGGAGGCAGGACCTGGGCACGTGCATGGCTGTCTGTTAGCCAAGGGTTTGCTGAGTGTATGCATGGGGTCATTGTGAGTCATGCAAGGGGGTTGGGGCCTTGGAGACAGAAAACAGCCCAAGCCCAGCCTCTCTGAGCCCCACAGCCAGCTGGGTCTCACTGGGCCCTTTTCCCAGCCTGCTGTCTCCACAGCTGGGGCCTGTCCATCACTTCTGTGCGTGTGTGGGGTCCTGGAGGTCCTGTTTAACCCTGCCCCCATCTCATTCCATCTTCCTCCCATCATCTGTGGATGTGCCTCCAACATGCACCTCGTCACCCCACGGTGACAGCCCTAGCCCTGGCCCAGGCTCCAGGGAGCCCCCACTCCTGGGAGCCAGCCAGCAGTGGGCAGGAAGCAGGGTGGGCCAGGTGCCCAGGCAGGCACTGTTTGGGGGCAGGGGGACGTGCCGTCGACCTGAGCAGCCTGTGCCTCCTAAGGGCCAGGCCCCACCATAGAGCAGAGGGAAACAGGCTGGACGCAGCAGGCAGTGCCGGGTGACTGAGCTGAGGACAACAGGCCGAGGCAGCTCTGGAAGGGTGGGTGTGTCTGGGGGCAGATGAAGCCCAGGTGGGGCCACTCAGCTGCTGAGGCCCTTCTCTGTTCCTGGCATCACCATGAGCAGAGCCCCAACCTCAGCCCTGGCCTTTGTTGAGCGCTGTCCTTCAGACTGTTGGGTGCTCACCCTGGACCCTGTCTGTCCCCTTATGGACCTGGGACCTCAGCCTGTCCCACTGTTGCCTGCCATGGGTCTCCTGTCTCCCGGCCCTTCCTGGCGTCCTCCTCCATACTTCAGTGACTTAGCTCCAGAGCTTGTCCCTCACAGAAGGGACAAATGCAGCTCCTCAGGAACCTCCTGTCCTCCGGGACCCTGGTGGCCACTCTGACAGGGAACCCAACCCAGGGTGGGGGTGGGGAGGCTGAGAGGCCCCTAGTGAGCAGGCCACATGCACATGTCCATCTGTCTGCAGGCCCCAGGGAGGGCTTGGAGGGACAGTGCCCACCCCAGGGCTCTGCTACCACCCTAGCCTTGGCCCCTGCCAGCAGGACACTTCCAGGCTCAGCAGAGGGCGGGAGAAGGACAAGGAGGGGGGGCCAAGACAAGTTGAGGGGTGAGTGGGAGCCACCCCATGCAGTGCCTGAGTGGCAGAGTGGGAAGACGCACAGGGGCCAGGGTAAACCATGCCAGAGCAGTATGTCTGTCCCCAGGACAGGGCTACGTCCTGCCTTCTGGCTCTGGCTGCTGGGAGATCTTCCACTGCCACCTGGCTCCCGCCCCACTGCAGGCAGGCGATTCCTGCTCTGACCCCTGCCACTAGCTTAACTCTGTCCTTGCTCTAAGCCCTGCCCTCAGGGCCTAGCCCTGTGCCCCTGCCCATCCCAGCACCGCCTGGTCCTAGATCTTCCCTGTCTGGGCCCTGCCCACTCCTGGCCCCACCCATCTGGGCCCAACCCCTCTGGGCCCTGCCAGAGGCTGCAGGTGGCCAGCTGGTCAGGTAGGAGTGGGCAGCCTTTTTCACTCTCTCCCTCCCTCCTCTCTCCATTCTGTGCTCCAGACACCACTAACTGTATGGAAATGATGACGGGGCAGCTTTCCAAATGTGGTAAGAACCCCTCACGCTCACCTGCACCTTAGCCTTGGCCCCACTGCTCACCCCACCGCCCACCTGGCCAGGGTTGCCTTGTGCTCCTGAGGCTGTCTTGGAGGCTCTGTGAATGCACAGGCACCCGACCACCCAGTCTCCCTGCCCCGTGGCCCCCATCTTCTGCCGGGAGCAGTATCCATCACTCACTCCCCTCCCTGGGCAGCCCCTGTCCATCCCAAGGACCAGGGCAGGCACAGGAGGGACCCCAAGGCTTGGAGCAGGAAGGGGTCCCCATACCTAAAGTCGGTGAGGGTCCAAGGTATAGGTGCTGGCCTGGAGTCAGAATGGATTCTGTCCACCGGCTGTGCCTGGCAGGGTGAGGAGGAGGCCTGCAGGGCTCTGGGCTTAGATGGAGGTCAGGTTAGGAAGGAGAGTTGAGGTGCCCCAGTGGCGTGCCTGGGCAGTGAGCACAGGCCCCCGGAGGGGTGGTCACCCTGTTTCTGCTCATTCTTCCTGCTTTCTGGGACCAGGAACCTGGCCTAGCTGTCTGTCCCCAGACCCCTGCCTGCCTGCCTATGCCCTCCATGCCTGTCCACCCATCCGTCCATCTGTCTGTCTGCTGCTGAATGTCCACGCTGGCCAGGGGCTGGCTCCAGGCCTCCTGGGAGGCACATTCCCTTGCTGAGTCCTTGGGTGCTGGCTGCAGCCTCCCCACCCTTGTGCAGGCTCCTGCAGGGGGCAGCTGCTGACCTCAGGGTCCTGCTCAATCTTGGGGTTCCTAGTGGGCCCTGGCCTTTACACCACTATTTCCAGAATGGGGTCCGCCAGCCCACATGGCCCCAGGCTGGGAGGGGAGAGGAGGGGTTCCCAGGGCTCTGCGGGGCCCCTCTGGGGGCGGGAGCCTCCCGCCTGCCGCCTGCTTGCTGCAGCCCTGCCCGCCCGCCCGCCTCTCAGACACCTCCTCGGGCTTTTCTTCCTCCTCAAGGCCCCTCCGTTCATTTGTTTGTTTGTTCTCTCTCCTTCCCTCCCCTCCTCTTTCTCCCCCACCCTTTTCTTTTTCTTTTCTTTTTTTGTCTCTGTTCTGTGTACCCAGGCAGCCCATTGAGTAACTTCTTTGACGTAATTAAACAACTTTTTTCAGACGAGAAGAACGGGCAGGCGGCCCAAGCCCCCAGCACGCCCGCCAAGCGGAGTGCCCACGGCCCCCTCGGCGACTCCGCGGCCGCTGGCCCTGGAGGGGACGCCGAGCACCCAATGGGCAAGGACACGGCCGGGATGGGGCCGCCCGCCGCCCGCTGCAAGCAGCCTTAGACACTAGTCCCTCCCCAGCACAGCGCTGACCGCGGCGCCCACCGCCACCGCCTAGTGTGGACCCGGGCCAGCCGCCCGCCCAGACATTGCCTCCAAGCCTGGGAGCAAAGGAGAGCGCGGGGCCGCGGCGTGCGGGCGGGGCGCCGCTCGCTCTCTTTTCTCTCTCGCGGTCATTGTCTCTGCCTGTCTCTGATGACGTCGCTTGTTTCCGCTCTGATACCAGGAATTATCCCGAAAAGCTAACATGCCACCTCCAGGAGGCCACCCTCTGCTCCGCGTGGACACTGGCTGACCGAAGGCAGCTGCTGCGGACCGCCCTCCCTCCTCCTCCTGCTGCTGTCGGGCGGGCGGGCGAGGCCAGCGCACGTCCACCGCCCCTGGCCCCCCGTGCAGCTCCGCACGGCCCGCGGGAGGAGGGCCCGGCTCCGGGATGCCTCCTCCAGCCCAGCAGACCTGCGGCAGGGACAGCCTGCCCTGCCGTCTCAGGGCAGGGGCTGTGGCAGGCGAAGCCGCACCTGGAGGCCTCCCGGCCGTCTCCTCTCCTCCACACCTTGGCCTCTCCAGGGCCACCTCCTGTCTCGTCTGCATCCATTTCTCCACTGCCTCACTGGGGGCCGCGGGCACACCTGGCTTTGAAGGTCCTCCCTGGCTGAGTGGAACAGACCCTGCAGGCGCCGGAGCTGCTGGGGCTGGCCAGGCTGTGGGGCTGGGCTGAGACCAGTATTATTTATTTGCTATTTTAATTTATTGAGTTTCCTTATTTCTCTGTTCTCTGTTCAGGGAAGGGGTGGCGGCATGCCCTCCTGCTGTCTGTCCCTGCCGTCTGTCTGTCTGTCTGTCTCGGGCAGGGTGGGTCCGGAGCCAAGGTGCCCTCTGAGGACACAGCCGTTGGGGGCTGGGGGCAGTGGGGCTGGCCGGTAGATGCGCGCTGGCAAGCTACTGTAAACTTTAAAGAATTCCTGCAAGATATTTTTATAAACTTTTTTTTCTTGGTTGTTTTTGGAAAAGGGTGTAGGGGTGGGGGGACCGCGGGGGCAGGGCTGAGATTCTGTGTTTTGGTTCCTGGCTCTTGGTTATTTCTATATACATATACATATATATATTTAAAGAACTGCGCGGGTAGCTCTGCCCCAGGTGGCTTTATTGCTGCCTAGAAGCAGCACCAGCTCTGTTGGGGGACTTGGGGCTGGGTGTGGTCCTAAGCAGGGCGGCTGAGGCCGCCCCCTGTGACCCACACCTCTGCCCCTCTGGCCAGGCCAGGCTGGGTGACCTTGGTTTAGTGTCTGAGAGTGAAGGGGTAGAAAGAGGGCCCTGGGCTGGCACCCCACTGACACACGGGATGGCAGGCCCACCTCGGGGCATTTTTTTTAATTAAAATTAAAAAAAAAAAAAAAAGCTTTAAAAAAAAAAAAAAGACAAAGTCAGTGGCGTGTGCCTCTGCAGTGTGTTTCTCCTGTACGTGGTGAGGTTAGGGGCCTGGCCACCCTGCCCGCTGCCTGCTGTCCACTGTCCACCGCAGACCCGCCTTGCTCCACTCTGCCTCCAGCTTCCTTTCACGTCCTTTCTGTCCAGCCGGCCTGGCCCCCGAGGCTGGCACCAGACGCGGGGCGGCGCAGGAGGCGGGGGCAGGCCCGAGGCAGGCCTTTGCTGTGGTGTCTCCCCTGCGGGCCCCTCCTGTAGATTTTAATGCTTCTGTTACACTGAAACTCCACCACAGGCTGGGATTCCAGGCATAAAACAAAACCAAACACCTGTAACGGCAAGAGCCACTCGGCACAGCGGGAGCGGGGGGGGGGGGGGGGGGGGGGCTTGTCCGGGAGACAGAGCCACGCGGCCCAGCGGCAGGGGGGCGGGGGGGGGCTTCTCCGGGAGACAGGGGGTGCCGAAAGCAATACCTCTCCTTGGCCTTCCTCTTTGTACTCCAGACACACGCGGACTCACGCGGACGTCCCCATCCAGTGTACCCCCTGTCAGATGACTGTGAGCAACTTCAGTTCCAGAACAATAAATTCCTTCCGAAAAGACACTTGATGCAAGGTCTCCATCCGGGCGGGGTGGCTTCAGGAAAGGCAGAGACGCCCTGAGGCGGCTCTCACCCCGTGTGAGCCTGTGTGGGCTCTGCCCAGCTGAGAACCACCCCTGCACAGGGGTCCAGGCAGCCACGGTCAGTCACATGTTGCGTCATCTCCCCAGACTCCCCTGTTCTGAGGCAGTACCACAGTTGGGGACAGGGCTGGCATGGAGCTCTGCTGTGGACAGGGCAGCAGGAAACAGGAGCACTGTCCCCACCTCATCCCTGCAGCTCCACTACCACCCTGAGACCTGTACAGGCTCACCCAGCACCTAAGCTTTCTCCTGGAGAAGGAACCTTCCTGCTCCTTCCTTGGGGAGAGTGCAGGCTGGACACTGACCTGGCCCAGAAGTAAGGGTCCCAGGTTGCTGAAGGATGGTCTCCGTCACACCCACTGTGGAAGGTCGCAGGCCATGGCACCATGTCACCCACAGCCTGGCTGCCCTTCTGCTGTGAGAGCATAAAGGGTGGATCCCATTCCCAGGGCCAGAAGACGGCAGGCCCCATGTTTGGGAGGGCCTAGGAGTCCCCCACAGCCTGAAGGCAGATGGGACAATCTCCAACAGGGTTCTGAGCAGAGAACACCATGTCCACAGAGCCACCGTTCCCAGGCGTGGCTGCAGCGCGGCTTAGTGGCAGTGCCCAGCCTTTACCCCGCCATCTCTAGAGAAGGGCTCCATCACCCGTGCCAACACTGGGGGCTGGCTGACTGTGGTGGGGTCATCTGGTGCTCTGTGGAAGCTCTGGGGGGCTCTGAAACATTCCTGGCCTCTGCCCAATACCTACCAGAAACTGTCTTCCGCTTCTGCTGTGACAACCAAAGTTCTCCCAGATATCGCCATGCCTCTACTGGGGCAGAACGGCACGGTTGAGGCCCTATTCTACAGCTCAGCATCTGGCTGGCGGACCATCTTGGTGAAGGAAGAAAGCCCGAGAGCACCACGTTTTTCTGGCTTAGCTCTGAGCTCAAAGTCCAGAAGCAACAGTGCTGAGGTGACGCTGGGGTCATCCCGATCCTGGAGGTCACTATGTCCTCAAGGGAGGGGGTTTCCAGAAGACACTGAGAGCAGCCAAGGGACAAACTCTACTGCCGTGACGCGTAGCACATTATCTCAGTTAATGTGAGCTTTAAGAGAGCTTCCAGGAAGGAACTGGGTGCCACCATCGAGCAAGCTGCATAGTTGGCTGGCTCTGGAGGTCCCAGGTTGCAGGTCGTGGGTAGGAAATCTTGGCCTGTGGTCCTGCAGTGCTCTTCTGAGAGCTGACCACACAGACCCACTGGACACTGAGGTCTACGGTTAGCTTAACGTGCACTGGATTGAGTCCCAGAAGGAAACCAATCGACTGAACAGACCTGCCGGCTTCCCATCTGCACACCTACTGCCCCCGTGGCTCAGGAAGGGGCCTTGCCCTTCAGTCTCACTTCTCCCACCAAGCTCTCTTGGTTTCAGCTAACAGAAGCCAAAGCAAGCTCATCCCCAAACTGTATTTATATAAAAAAATAAAATAGATACGAAAGGTTTCCTATGTGTCAGACACTGTCCTGAGCACTTTAGACTCAGCATCAAGCCAATGGTTCTCAATGTTATTCCTATGAAGAAATTAAAATGAGGACTTGGGTGGAGTTCCCAATCCCTAGTTCTCGGGTGCATTTTGGGTCTGTGCCTACCACGGCCTGGCCCAAGGGCTGGGTTCCCAGTGGGCGGTGGGGATGGCTGACTCATGGCTGCCAGGGCTGAGTGCTGGCAGGAGCTGCTGCAGGGTGAGGTGAGCTCAGGGAGGAGACGCTGAGCACCCACAGGCCTCTGCTCTGAGGGAGCCTGTCCCAGCTTCAGTCCCCACTTTCAGTTGGCCTCCTGAGTACAGAATCCCTGGCGTCATGAGGCCTAGGAGCTTGGGAGAGGGTGGACCCTCAGTGTTCCACGGGCCAGCCGCCCTGCCCACCCATCCTCTGCCAGGGAGTTCATCACCAGAGGCGTCCGGGCCTCTCTGGCAACTCCGCCTCCCGTCTTGCCCGCTCTCCCTGTGGGCCAGAGCCTCCCCACCCTCTTCTCAGTCTTCTCTCCTCCCCTTAACATTCTCCCTTCCCTGGACGACCTCCCCCAACAGACACCCTCACTTCCTGTCACCACCCAGGCTTCTTTTGGTATCATCTGCCAAGGGATAGAGGGAGGTCAGCAGGAAGCCAGAAAGAGGAGGGCCCATGGAGAGGAGAGAAGACCCTGGAGGATATCAGGCAGCAATGCCTGAGGAGGGGACAGGGCTGGGCTGACGAGCGGGGAGAGCAGTCCCCACCCAGAAGCCCAGCACCAGCCTGCGCTGGGACATGGCGTTCATGGTAGTCACCTACCCAGGAGCACTATGGCTCCTCCTTTGATGGATCCTCTTATTAAGGCCTTCAAAACAGACCCTGGGAGTGCCTCATGGCCCATTTTACAGAGGGATTAGATTCCTATCACTGCTATAACAAGTTACCCCCAACAGTAGTTTAAAACACAAACCTCTTCTCTTGTGGTTTTGGAGTCAAGAACTGGTAGGGCTCACTGAAGTGATCTCACAGAGCCAAAATCAAGGTTCCGGCAGGGCTTTGTTCCTTCTGGGGCTCAAGGAAGACTCCACCTCCCAGCCTTTCTAGCCTGAGGCCTCCCTGCACCCCTTGGGTCAGGGCCCCTGTCCACCTTCAGAGCAGGAGAGCAGGCTGTGTGGCACGTGGCTGTCTCTGCAGCTCCCGCCTGTTAAGGCCCCTGGTCACGCAGGGCCTGGTCCATCTCCACGCCAGGCCGGTACTTTATAGTTCCTTCCTCCTAAACTGCATCTATACTTTAAAACCCCAGCTATGTCAGGGACATTGGTGGGATGCAGGCACTGGGACCCGAGCACGTTGGGGTGAGAGACGTTATTCGACTTGCTCAGGTCCACTGACTAGCCCCCGTTTGCACATGAGGTGGGTGACACTCTGGGTGTGGTCCTTCCTGGGCAAAGTCTCTCTCTGTGTGCTTTCTAGCCACAGAGGCAGGGCAGAGCCCAAGCAGCTGTACAGGTCCCTGTGGCTCACGGCTCTGCCCCTACATGCACACCCTGCCCTCTGACCCCCAGTCTCCCTGTTCCCCTGTACTGGGGAGTGAACTCAGGGGTGCTCTACCACTGAGCTGCACCCCAGCCCTTTCTGATTCCTAAGTTGTCCAGGGTGGCCTCAAACTTGCGATCCTCCTACATCGGACACCCAAGTGGCTAGGGTTACCAGTGTGTGCCGCGACACCCACTAGCCCAGCTTTCTCTTAATGAAAAGCAGCGAGTCTGTAGCTGGACACTTTCCTTCGCTACTTCCTGGCTGCAGAACCCTGGGGGCCCAACAGGCTTTTATCTCACCCAGTCTCCCTGCTTTCAGGTCCAGCAGGCAAGGTTTCTGAGGACAGCACTTTCTCAGAACCTCATGGGTCTCTACCTCGACCATGTGGATTCACTCCAGGAGACAAGGGGATTTCCATAGGCCCCTACAGACCTCCTTTTCTCTATTTTAGCTTCTGCTTAGATGACCAAAGGTGTCTATTAGCCACACACTTTGTATCTTCAAGAGCCCTCTGACCTTTCCATCTTTCTGCTCATCTGCTGCACCCTCAACCCTTCCTTGGACAAATCTCCTCTGCGATCTGGCTGTTGAGAGCTCCCTGCTGCTCAAGGGCTGCTGCCTGCATGCTCTCCCTCCTCCTAAACTGCGTGAGCGGCAAGATGGGACCTTGCTGCCGCCACCAGTCCATCTACCGAATGCCCAAGCTAGCTGTGTGCGGGTCCTGCTTTCCTCAGCAAGAAAGGACGGCTCAGCCGCGCCTTCCCCGTGACAGGTTCCTTGCTCCTGGCCCTCCCAACAGCACCTCAAACACTGCTATTTCTGCTCAGAGGATGATCTCAGCAACTCTAAGTTCCCTCAGAGATGA